AGATCACAACAAAAAGGTTTCTGCCCTGTGTGGATTGTTATATGAGAGTTTAAATTAGTTTTCTGAGTAAATCTTTTTCCACATAAATCGCAACCAAAAGGTTTCTGTCCTGTGTGAATTTTCATGTGTGTGTTTAAATTGGGTTTTTGGGTAAATCTTTGTCCACACTGATCACAGCTAAAAGGTTTCAGTCCTGCATGGATTCTCATGTGTGTTTCTAAGTCTTCCTGTAGTCTAAATCTTTGTCCACATAGCTCACAAGGGAACGGTCTCTTTCTTGTGTGGACTCTCATGTGTTTGTTCAAAGCTGATTTTAAAGTAAATATTTCTCCACACATATCACAACAGAAAGATTTCTTCCGTGCATGGATTCTCACATGTTTGTTAAAATTCCCTTTCAGGCTAAATCTTTTCCCGCATAAATCACAACAGAAAGGTTTCTCCCCTGTGTGGATTTTCATGTGTTTGTTCAAATATTCCTTCTGGTTAAATCCTTGCCCACATAGTTCACAAGAGAAAGACTTCTGTCCTGTGTGGATTACCTCATGTCTGTTTAAACTTGCTTTTTGTGTAAACCTTTGCCCACATATGTCACAACAGAAAGGTTTCAGTCCTGTGTGGATTCTCTTGTGTTTGCTTAAATTTCCTTTCAGGCTGAAGCTGTGTCCACATATGTCACAGAAGCAACGTTTCTGTCCAGTGTGGATTTTCCTATGAATGTTTAAATAGTGTTTTACAGCGAAAGTTTTACCACAATCTTCGCAGCTAAACTTCGCCTCTGTTTGGTCTTTTTTTTGCAAGTCTGCATTGTTATCCTCTGTGAAACATGTCTCGTTATCCAGATAGCTTGAAGACCCAATTTCTGAATTAGTCATGTCTTTCTGAAGGCAGCAATTGGGATCGGATTGTTCAGCAAACTCCTCCTTCAAATCGGGCTGTTCTCCTTCAAGGCGGGGGCAGACTGCCTCCCGTTCCTCCTTAATGTCAGGGGGCTTTTGGTCATGTAGGCTCACACAAAGTGTGTGGTCTTCAGGAGGTTCTGCTTTAACCATCAGATTGACGTCATGATGCTCAGCACTAAGTCTGTGGTCTTCTTGAGATTCTTTTTTAACTACCGGGTTTAGGTCATGATGGTCAGCAGAAGGTGTGTCGTTTTCATGAGCTTCTTCTTTAACCATCAGATTGAAGTCATGATGTTCAGCACACGGTCTTTGGTCTTCAGAAGATTCTTCTTTTACCATCACATTCAGGTTATAAGGGTCAGCACAAGGTTTGTGGTCTTCAGAGGATTCTTCTTTAACCATTAGATGTAGGTCATGTGGGTTAGCCCAAGGTATATGGTCTACATTAGATTCTTCTTTTACCATCAGCTTTGGATCATGTAGGTCAACACAAGGTTTGTGGTCTTCAGGGGATTCTTCTTTGATCATCAACATTTGCTTGACACCTATAAGAAACATTAAAAAACATTATGCATTTCAGAAAGTATTTTGACTTGTTGGCAGGTGGCTCTGCGAACCGTGTCGCCGTCCATGTCTCGTCACATGGAACAAACGAGCAGTGGTCTGGACAGTCAGTGTGAAGAGATAGCAGATGAGCAGTAATTATATTCACAGAGCTAAAGTGGAGAGTTGGAGACCTACCTTAAAGAGTGTACAATTGTTTGAAAAGAAAAGCAGTACTGTGGTGTTAATGAAAGGCAGTTTTTCTACTTTGGCTAAAATATCTCTCAGCTCCATATCACAGTGTGTAAATTGGGAGACTTTTAGCTCATTTTCAAGATACAAGATAGAGGTGAAAGATTCAGATACAGATGAAAACCACGACAAAATAACTTTAGATAATGGTTGGTTTGTCCTGGCATTTTTAGACATTTCCCTGCTTAAACAGAACTGATTTTCAATGATAATTATCAGCAGCTAGGAGTTAAACTTGTAGGCATCTCCTTTATGCAAACCAGAAAGAAATTAGCTTAATGCAAAATGACATAAGAACCCTTTTCTTTTCTTTGTTTACAGCAAATGCATCCTATATATTTAACTTGTCAAAAAATGAAATTAACTGGTTATTTTATTAAAAAAGAAG